CCCTCCGCGCAGACCGAGCGGTGCTGCCGCAGGACGCCGTGGGGGTGTTCACGGCGCTGGGCCTCAACGAGAGGCTCTTCGTGGTCAGCATGGACGAGCTGGGCAACCTGGTGAGTGCGGGGTGGGGGTCCGGGCTGGGCAGCACCGGGCAGACCCCCCCAAGAAGGGTTGGGGGCTGCGGTGCCTCGGTTTGGGGCACCCACCCCTCCTGGGGTCCGCTGAGGGCAGGAGGGGTCAGGGGTCCTGTCCTGTGCCCAGACCCCCCACCCTGAGCAGCTGGGCCCCCACGCCGGCTCCTCGGACACCCTGGACCTGATCAGCTCCAAGGACCTGGCCAGCCACCTCACCGACTACGACTGGAACCTCTTCAAGAGCATCCACCAGGTGCGGCCCGCGCCGGGAGCGGCCGGGAGGGGACCTGGGACCCTCCTCACCTGCTGGGAAAGGGGTTCGAGACACCCCTCACCTGCCAGGAAGGGGGGTCAGGACACCCCTCACCTGCCGGGAAGGGGGTTCAGGACTCCCCTCACCTGCCAGGGAAGGTGTTCAGGACACCCCTCACCTGCCAGGAAGGGGGTCAGGACACCCCTCACCTGCTGGGAAGGTGTTCAGGACACCCTTCATCTGCCGGGAAGGGGGTTCAGGACACCCCTCACCTGCCAGGGAGGGGGTTCAGGACACCCCTCACCTGCCGCTCTCCCAGGTGGAGATGATCCACTACATCGTGGGGCCGCACAAGTCCCGCGAGGTCGCCACGGCCAACCTGGCGCGGGTGATGCGGCGCTTCAACGAGCTGCAGTTCTGGGTGGCCACCGAGCTGTGCCTGTGCCCCGAGCTCGGGCGGCGGGCGCAGCTCCTCCGCAAGTTCATCAAACTGGCGGCACAGTGAGTCCCTGTCCCTGTTGCTGTCCCCGTCCCTGTCCCCGTCGCTGACTCGTCCCCGTCCCCGCCTGCAGCCTCAAGGAGCAGAAGAACCTGAATTCCTTCTTCGCGGTGATGTTTGGTGTGAGCAACACGGCCGTGACTCGCCTGGCCAAGACCTGGGAGGTGACAGAGGGGGGGCCTGGGGGGTGGGACAGCCCCTGGGGAGGGACAGCCGGGGGTCTCTGGGGTGGGACAGGCAGGTGCCAGCCCCGTGATCCCACCCCTGCACAGAGATTGCCCCACAAGATCCGGAAGCTGCACTCGGCCCTGGAGAGGATGCTGGTGAGGGCAGCCCCCTTCCTGCCCCGTGTCCCCTTCCCTGCCCCGTGTCCCCTTCCTGCCCCGTGTCCCCTTCCCTGCCCCATGTCCCCCTTCCTGCCCCGTGTCCCCTTTCCCAGTGGGATTTGCCCCTGGAGCAATGGGGAGGGGGTGCCGCTGTCCCCCCCACGCCCGGTGTCCCTGCCTGTCCCCAGGACCCCTCGTGGAACCACCGTGTCTATCGCCTGGCCGTGGCCAAGCTGAGCCCCCCCATCATCCCCTTCGTGCCCCTGCTGCTCAAAGGTGGGTGTCTGGTTTTTGGGGACCCTCTGGGCGTGTGCAGTGCCCCCAGGAGCCCCTCTCTGACCCCTCAACCCCCCCAGACATGACCTTCATCCACGAGGGCAATCGCACCCTGGCCGAGAACCTCATCAACTTCGAGAAGATGGTGAGGGGGGGTGGTGGCCCCTCCGCGGGCCCTGCTGTGCCCTGTGCCCGGGCGGGCAGAGCTCTGCCCCTGCACAGCCGGGGCTGTCCCGGCGTGCTCACAGCCGTGGCGGGCACAGGGAATTTGGGGGTCCGGGTGGGGCCAGGTGGCAGCAGGTGACCTCTGTGCCTCACCCACAGCACATGATGGCCAAGACCGTGCGAGTGCTGCAGCGCTGCCGGGGCCACGCGCACGGTGAGCGCTCCGGGGAGCTGGGGAGGGGGCCTGGAGCAGCCCTGGGGAGGGGGCTGGGGCCCTGGGGACACAACTGAGCCCCCCAACATTCTCTGTGTCCCCCCAGCGCCGCTGTCCCCGCTGCGGAGCCGCTCCCCGCACCGGCCCGAGGACGCCAAGGCCGTCAGGATCTCCACGTGTACGGCTGGATCCATACAGGGATCCATGGGGGATCCGTGGGGGGATTCATGGGGGATCCATGGGGGATCCACGGGGGATCCGTGGGGGATCCACGAGGGATCCGTGGGGGATCCATGGGGGATCCATGGGGGATCCGTGGGGGATCCGTGGGGGATCCATGGGGGGATCCGTGGGGGATCCATGGAGGATCCGTGGGGGATCCGTGGGGGATCCATGGGGGATCCGTGGGGGGTTCATGGAGGGATCCATGGGGGATCCCTGGGGGATCCATGGGGGATCCATGGGGGATCCGTAGGGGATCCATGGGTGGATCCATGGGTGGATCCATGAGGGGATCCATGAGGGGATCCATGGGGGGATTCATGGAGGGATCCATGGGGGATTCATGGAGGGATCCATGGGGGATCCATGGGGGATCCGTGGGGGGATCCATGGGGGATCCGTGGGGGATCTATGGGGGGATCCATGGGTGGATCCATGAGCCAGTCCAGGGCCATTTGGGGAGGCTTGGGGGTGACAGAGGGGGTCCATGGGGTGATCCTGCAGGGAGGGACAGGCTGTGCCAGGGCACGGAGGGGACCCCAGCCGGGATTCATGGAGGGATCCTGGGGGGATCCATGGGGGATCCGGGGGGGGATCCATGGGGGATCCGTGGGGGATCTATGGGGGGATCCATGGGTGGATCCATGAGCCAGTCCAGGGCCATTTGGGGAGGCTTGGGGGTGACAGAGGGGGTCCATGGGGTGATCCTGCAGGGAGGGACAGGCTGTGCCAGGGCACGGAGGGGACCCCAGCCTCGACCTCGTCCCTCCCTCCCCGCAGGCTCGGAGCAGTCCCTGAGCGTGCGGAACCCCGTGTCCACCTGGGCCTACCTGCAGCACCTGAGGGCCATCGACAGCCAGAAGGAGCTGCTGAGGCTCTCCCGGGAGCTGGAGCCCTGAGGGGAGCGGGGCTGGAGCGGGGACGGGGGCCCGGAGTGGGGATGGGGGCCCAGAATGGGGATGGGGGTCCAGACCGAGGAAGGGGGCCTGGAGCGAGGATGGGGCTCGGAGTGGGGATGGGGGCCCAGAGCGGGGATGGGGGCCCGGCTGCCGGCGGCAGGGCAGCCCCTGGCTCTGCTCCCGGTGTGGGGCAGCCCCTGGCTCTGCTCCACACCTCCAGGCTGTGCTGGAGCCGCCCCAGAGCTCGGCCGTGGGCTCAGACCCGGCCCCGTGGGGCAGCCGGGCCCCGCCGGGCTGCGGGCAGGTGAGGGCAGAGCAATAGAGGTATTTTTGTACTCACGGCTGCGCTCCTCGTTCTTCTCCGAGCCCGACGTCACCCCCTGCACCTGCACCCCCGCTGTCACCTGGGGGACGGCCCCGGAGCTGCCCCAGGGGAGGTGACACAGCGCTGGCACCAGCAGGGGACAGCTCAGGAAATGACTGAGGGCTGAGGGAGAAGCCAAACCCGGCCCTTATTGCACCAAACGCCGCTCCCGTGCCAGCTGGCACCGCCCGGGGCACGGCAGGGACCGTCCCTGCTCCGCCAGGCATCCTGGGCATCGCCCCCCTCCTCGGGAGCTTTGGGGTCGGGTCTCACCTGCCCAGGTGGGGGGCACAGGGTGTGAGCCTCTCCCGGGGGGGGGACACCCTGTCCTGGGGCTGTGGCTGCTCCCAAAGCACCGGGGTCGGGTGCCAGGGGAGCCCCCAGGAGCCCCCAAGGGCTGACCCTGCCTGAACTGCCCCAGGCCAAGCCAGGGGCACCTGGACCACCAGGACCAGCTGGCACTGGCCACCCCCGGGCTGGCGCGGGGGTGGAGAAGAGTTGGAGCAAATCCTGCGGGCTTTGGGGTGAGGTTTCCTGGGAAAACGTGGCAGGGAGTGAGGAAGAGGAGGCCGAGCCTGGTGGTGCCCTGGGGGACCCTCCCAGCGCTGCTGGCTCTCCGTTATTCCCCTGAAAACGCCCCTGCTCAGCCCCAGCACCGGGAACATTTTCCATCGGGGTTGGCTGGGAGGGGAAGGGGCTGTGACCCCCCCCCCAGGCCTGGCCTGAGCCCCCCCGGGGCCTGGAGGGTCCCTGGGGCAGCTCTGGGCTCACCCCGGGGTGGGACCAGGCTGGGATGACCCCAAACCTCACCCTGGGGCTGTGCTGGAGCTTTGGGGTTTTCCTGGAGGATCTCGGGGCTCCAACGAGACCGATCCGTGCCGGGGGGGGCGGGGGGGTCACAACCTCCAGAGCTGCCTTAGGAGAGCTCATCACCCCCAATTAACGCCGCTCCCAGTTCACACCAGTCCCCCGGAGCCCAGTCAGGGACCCTCCTGTGCCCCCGGTGCCCAGTTCGGGGGGGTGGGCAAAGCCCCCCCGGGACCCTCCCCCCGCAGCCTCGGCCCCCCCGGGGGTCAGGCCCGGGAGCTGTGGGGCAAGCCCGGGATTCTGGATTTACCAGCCCTCCTCCCACTGCGGGCAGCCTGTAATTAGCCGCGCGCTTAATGAGTTTTGGGGAAGTTTGGGTGCAGCCCTCCCGTGGAGCCCTCGCTGCCATCACGCCCCTCCCTCCCTCCCCCCCCGCGGGACCCACAAATAGCAGCGGCTCCGGGAGCTCCGGCACTGCCGAGCCGGGCCCGGGACTGCGATGGAGCCCTGGATCCTCCTGCTGGGGGCAGGGCTCGCCCTGGGCTGCGTGTCCGGCCGTGAGTAACCGGGGGGTCCGGGGGTCGGGCTGGGGGCGCTGCCTCCCCCAGCCCTACTGGGATAACTGGGATGGAGCCAGCGGGGAAGGGGAGGGGGGTTTTCCCTGATGGAAATCCAGCCCGGGGTGGGGGTGGGTTGCCGGGCCCACCAGCTGGGTCCTGCTGTGCCTGCGCCTGCGGTGGGGCTGCAAAGCTCAAGGAACCTTCTCCTGGCTCCTCCTTTCCATTTATCCGTGGAGAAACAGCTTTGGGAGTTTTCCAATCCCAGCCCCGGATCCACCTTCCCCCTGTGGCCACCGGGGCAGCTCAGGTGGCAAACGCAGCCCAGAGAGGGCTGTGCCCGACCCCGACGTGCCCGGGAGGGGCTCGGGGGCCTCTGGCTTCAAGGATGGGCTTGGGGCCACCAGGATTTGGCAGCCGGGATCCCACGGGGGTGAGGAGGTGCTGGCAGCGCCGAGTTCTTGCACAAAGCGTGAACCGTGATCCCCTGGCACTGAGGACGGGATTTCATCACCCCCGACGCTGCCAGGAGCTCGTATCTGATGTCCCAGGAGAGGATGAGTCCCCTCGGGATGAGAGATGAGCAGTTTTGCAAGGCCAGCTCACAGGAGAAGCTCCAAACCAGCTGGGAGCAGGAGGTTCCCAAACTCCTGAGTGAGTCCTGAGCTCCCAAATTTCCTGAGCTCCCAAATTTCCTGAGCTCCCAAATTCCCGAGTGAGTCCTGAGCTCCCAAATTCCCGAGTGAATCCTGAGCTCCCAAATTTCCTGAGTGAGTCCTGAGCTCTCAAATTCCCGAGTGAGTCCTGAGCTCCCAAATTCCCGAGTGAATCCTGAGCTCCCAAATTTCCTGAGTGAGTCCTGAGCTGTTCCCAAACTCCCGAGTGAGTCATGAGTCCCCAAACTCCTGTGTGAGTTCCCAGATTTCCCATTTTGAGTCCTGAGTTCCCAAACTCCTGTGCGAGTTCCCAAATTTCCCATGTTGAGCCCTGAGCTCCCAAACTCCTGAGTGAGTTCCCAAACTCCTGAGTGAGTTCCCAAACTCCTGAGTGAGTTCCCAGACTTCCCGTGTGAGTCCTGAGCTGTTGCAGAAGGAAAGCCCGTGGTGAAGGTGCCTGGGAAGCTCGGCTGCCTCGTGGTCAGTCCTGGCCTCCTGCTGGACCTGTCTGGTGGCCCTGGGACCTCTCCACTCTCCTCGTGCGGGCAGTGGGAGCTTTTCCCTGATCATCCCACAGACAGGGCTCACATGTGGGTTTGGAGCTGGGAGCTGAGGGTTTGGGAAGCTCAGGCTGTCCCAGCTCCGCTCCAGGTTTGTTTGTCCTTCAGCTGGTCCCTGCTGGAGCCTGGGCTGGGTTTGGAGCCGTGTTTTCCTGGAGGAACGAGGTCCTGAGTCAGGCCAGGGGCTCGAGGACGCGGCTCCAGCTCAGCTGAGTCATCCCCGTGCCCGAAACCAAACTGGGAGCACTGGGAGAGCTCCGGCACCTCCCCGTGCCCGGAGGATGGAGCTGGGCAGGGAATGTCCCCTTCCCTGGGCCACGACTCGCTCTGGGAGCGGAGGGAGGGGTCGGGTCCCGGAGACAGAGAAATATTTCTGTGCTCCGTGCAGCCAGAGAAGATCTTGGGGCGGGATCAGCCAAAAAATCTCCGGCTGGAGCAGCCAAAAACCCCCGGGTGGCTGAGTGTGGCTGTGCCGTGTCCTTGTGTCCTTCTGTCCCAGGCCACCACCCCTGTGGCGTTTCCAGCTCTTCCCACAGCCCCAAAAACCTCCCAAGAGCTCCAACAGCCCTACCAGGGACAGCTGAGCACCCTGCCGCGATTTAGGGTCGATTTAGGGTCGATTTAGGGATTTAGGGTGAATTTAGTGTCAATTTAGGGTTGATTCAGGGTCAATTTAGGGTTGATTTAGGGTGAATTTAGGGTCGATTTAAGGTCGATTTAGGGTCGATTTAGGGATTTGGGGTTCATACTGGGATTTGGGGTCAATTTAGGATCGATTTAGGGATTTAGGGTGGTGTCTGAGTGAGGAGGAGGAGCCGTTTCCCTGCCCTGAGCCCGCTCAGGTGCCCCGTGGCACTGGGGATTTGGGATTGGGGATTTGGGGATTTGGGACGATGCTGAGCCCGCCCCTCCGAGGGCTGAGTCAGGGTCGGGGCCCTGCTGGGACACGCTGGGGCCGCTGTGACACGCTCGGGCCGCTGTGACACCCCCGGCAGCGCGGCAGCGGCACCGGGATGGGCTCGGCGCTGACGGGGGAGCGTGGGCAGCTCCTGCCTTGCCCAACCCCGCCGGGATCGCGGCTGGGAAAGGAGGGGAGGGAGCGAGCCGGGGGATTCATCCCAGTGCTGCTCTGGGAACGGGGCTGCGGCTGGGCTGGGCGGACTGGGGGGGTCTGGGCAGTACCGAGCACCCCTCCCATGGGATGGCCCTGCCCTGGGGTTCTCCCAGCTCTTCTCAGGGGCTTCGGGAGAGCCTCGAGACCCCCCTGCCAAAATCCTCCTTTTTAAAGGAAAAAAATCCTCCTTTTTAAAGGAAAAAAATCCTCCTGTTTAAAGGAAAAAATTCTCCTGTTTAAAGGAAAAAATCCTCCTTTTTAAAGGATAAAATCCTTTTAGAGGAAAAAATCCTCCTTTTTAAAGGGAAAAAATCCTCATGTTCAAAGGAAAAAAAATCCTCCTGTTTAAAGGATTTACAGGGAATGGGAAGTCAAGAGGGAAAACCAAGCCAAGGACACCGGCAGGAGCTGGGATTTGGGGGCGAGGGAGCCGAGGGGTCCCCCAGGACCTGCGGGGCCGGGGTGACATCACCGGGCACAAACAATCGTGGTGAAGTGACAAAGGGGACAAACAAGGCGGGCAGGCGGCGGTGTCGGGAGCCTGGTGCCACCCTCGTGGCCTGGATGTCGCTGTCATCGCCTGGTGTCCCCGGACAGGACGAGCCGCATCAGGATTTGCCCCGGGGCCACCTTTCAGCCGGGCTGGGCGAGCCCGCGGTGCCTCAGATGTCGCAGATTGCGGCGGCTCCGCCAGGGAGAGCAACGCCCGCTCCTCCGGGGCTGCCTTTGCCGCTGGGCCACGCTGCTGGCACGGGCTGGCACGGGGGCACCGCTGGGACAGGGACACCGCTGGGACAGGGCCACCCTGCTGGCACGGGCTGGCACGGGCTGGCACGGGGGCTGGGCGAGCCCGCGGTGCCTCAGATGTCGCAGATTGCGGCGGCTCCGCCAGGGAGAGCAACGCCCGCTCCTCCGGGGCTGCCTTTGCCGGCTGGGCCACGCTGCTGGCACGGGCTGGCACGGGGGCACCGCTGGGACAGGGACACCGCTGGGACAGGGACACCCTGCTGGCACGGGCTGGCACGGGGACACCGCTGGGACAGGGCCACCCCTGTCCCGCTGAGAGTGTCCCTTGTCCCCTTCAAGGCTTCACCGCTGCTATTTTTAGCTTTGCTTTGCGTCACAAAGCTCAGCAGCTCTTTGGCTATGAGCAGCTCGGGAAGGTTTTCCCAGTTTTCCTGGTTGTTTTCCCAGTTTTCCCGGTTTTTTTCCCAGTTTTCCCAGTGGTTTTCCCAGTTGTTTTCCCAGTTGTTTCCCCAGTTTTCCCAGTTTTCCCAGTTGTTTCCCCAGTTTTCCCAGTTTTCCCGGTTTCCCCAGTTTTCCCAGGTGTTTTCCCAGTTGTTTTCCCAGTTTTCCCGGTTTTCCCAATTTTCCCAGCTGTTTTCCCAGTTTTCCCAGCAGGAAGCCGACGAGGCTGCCTGGAACGCGGCAGCTCCTCCGGCCCCAGTTTTCCCAGTTTTCCCAGTTTTCCCAGTTGTTTTCCCAGCTGTTTCCCCAGTTTTCCCAGTTTTCCCAGCTGTTTTCCCAGTTTTCCCAGCAGGAAGCCGACGAGGCTGCCTGGAACGCGGCAGCTCCTCCGGCGTTGCCCGGGGCTCTGGGGCTCATCCCGGGATCCCGGGCTGAATCACGGGGAGCAGTCCCGGGGCTGTTCCCGGTGTCACCTTGAGGCTGTGACAAACACCCCACAGGAGCCACCCTGGTGACAAAGATCCCGGCTGGAGCTGCCCGGGAGGGGACCGAGGGTGGGACGGGGACGCTCCGGGGGTGGCGGTGGCCGCTCTCAGCCCCTCCTGAGTGCCACCCCCCGTCTGTGTCCCCAAAGATCTGTACACAGCCCCCGACTCGTGCGAGGGACGCTGCGGGGAGCCCCTCAATGAGGAGGACGAGTGTCACTGTCACCCCGAGTGCCAGGCACAGCACAACTGCTGCGAGGACTACGAGAGGCACTGCGGGCCCGGTGAGCGCCCCGCGACAGCGATCCGAGGTGTCCCCACCCCCCTGAGGGTGCCAGGGGGTGGTCCCGAGCCCCTTCAGGTCCCCAAGGTGTCCCCAAGGTGTCCCCAACACCCTGAGCTCCTTTTCCTCTCTCCTCCGCAGGTGGGGAAGGCGCCGAGGGCGGAGCTCGAGCCCGCGGTGAGTCGGGAGGGACAGAACCGCCCCCGGTGCCTCGGGGTGTCCCCACATTCCTGGGGGTGTCACCCCCAAGGTGTCTTGGGGTGTCCCACTCCATTCCTCGGGGTGTCCCCTCTGTTTTTCAGGGTGTCCCCCGTGTTCCTCGGGGTGTCCCCCTCTATTCCTTGGGGTGTCCCCCCCATTCCAGCGCCTCTGTCCCCTCCCGGAGCTGGGGGCGGCGGGCACAGGGAGCAGGGGCAGGAACCAGCTGGGCTGGCACCCCCTGCCCACCCCCAGCCTGGGGAGGGGAACGATCCCTGGGGATTGGGAATTGTCACTGCCCGTGTCCCCATGGCCACCTGCTGTCCCCGGCCTGTGGGGTCAGGAGCCCCTGAACCCCCACCATGTCCTGGGGGACACCCTCACCTTTCCATGGATCCTGCTGGATCCCCTTACTTCTCCATGGATCCTCTGGATCCCCTTCACTTTTCCATGGATCCTCTGGATCCCCTTCATTTTTCCATGGATCCCTCCCTTTCCACGAATCCCAGAGGTGTCCCCAGTCCCTGCCTGTCCCCACAGGGACATCCTCACCTTTCCATGGATCCTCTGGATCCCCTTCACTTTTCCATGGATCCTCTTGATCTTCTTCACTTTTCAATGGATCCCCCTCACTTTTTCATGGATTCTGCTGGATCCCTTGACCTTTCCCATGGATCCTCTGGATCCCCTTCACTTTTCCATTGATCCTTTTGATCTCCTTGACTTCTCCATGGATCCTCTCGGTCCCTTTGGCTTTTCCATGGATCCTCTGGATCCCCTTGACCTTCCCAAGGATCCTCTGGATCCCCTTGACCTTCCCAAGGATCCTCTGGATCCCCTTGACCTTCCCATGGATCCCTGCCCTCCCCACGGTCCCAGAGCTGTCCCCAGCCCCCGCTGTCCCCGCAGACGGATTCTCCAGCAGGGGCGACTCCATCACGGAGCAGGAGCTGCTGCAGCTCTCGGAGCAGCTCTACGCGCTGGATCACAACAAAGCCCGGCCCAGCGACATCGCCATCAACCCGCAGCACCTGGCGGGCCCCGGCGACACTGGCGACAAGCAGGACCGGTCCCCGCAGCCGTGAGTGGCCCCGGGGGAGGAGGGACGGCGGCCCGGGCTGGGGGAGGGAGCTGCAATTCCAGCAATTCTCCCCCAGGCTCTACAAGTACGTGAACGAGCAGCTCTTCTCCAAGCCCACCTACGCCAGCTTCATTAAGCTGCTGGATAATTACCAGAGGGCCACGGGCAGGGAGGAGGAGGTGACGGCCGAGGAGCTGCGGGAGCAGGAGCGTTTCCTCGAGGAGGTGATGAAAACGGAGCTGATGAAGAAACTCTTTGTGTTCCTGCAGGGAAAAAGTGAGTGCGGAGCAGGGCAGGGGATGGGGGAATCCCAAAGGGGGACAATCCAAAGCAGCACAGTCCATTTTCAGGAGGCTTTTAAAATAAAATTTTAATTTTTAGTTATTTTTACATGGGGTTTTTTTTAAATGAAAAACCCATTTTTATTTTAACATGCATGCTTTTTACACATTATTACAAAACTCCTAAGTTTACACTTTGCTCATTGGTCACGAGAGACAAACAAACTGCTCATTGGGATAACTGCAGGTTTCTCTTGTTTATCCTTTTCTTTCTTGGTTTCTATGTCAACGACCTTGGTAGGAAATTCTTTCAGGGCTAAACGTGGATCCTCTTATCAGACTTCTCTCTGGCTCACGGGAATCTCTGTAAAACCTCTTCCACAAAGCCCCAGGCAGGGAACACCTGGGACGGGCACAGGGGGAATCCAGAGGGAGAATTCCCGAGGGACAGCGTGGGGAGGGGATGGGGAACCCTGATGGTTCTCTGCTTCCTTTTTCCACCTCTGCTGAGGTTGGAATTGAAGGCATTCAGGATGATATTTCACATTCAGACTCGGGTGTTTATAATTTATCCATGTTATGATTTTTCACATTCAGACTCGGGTGTTTATCATTTCTTATCAGTGCCGCAGTCTCACAAGCCTGAGTTCTGCAGTCCTTCATTAACCAGGCACAAAATGGCCAACAATCTCTTGTTTTAAGGCTAAACTATCTAATTAGGAAATTGCACCTAAATTATTTTCACTTTTAACCCAATATCTAATCCCTCAAAGTCCTCAGTGCGGATTTTTCTGTCCAATTACAATACACCACCCAAACCCAGGAAGAAGAAGGAGGAAGAACAACCTGAAACCCCCATCTTGCTCCGTATTTATTACTACATTCTAAAACCCCAAACTCTGAGTTTTCCACCCTGTGACATCACACATTTCTAACCAAACCACACACCCGTAATCCCAGCGCTGTCAATCAATTTTGGAATTGATTGACAGCATTCTTCATGGCCTGGGGTCAAATGCAGCGCTCTGCTGGGGCTCTGAGTCTGCCAGCACAGAAAATCTAAATTTCTCAGCACCCACAACTGCAGCAGAGCCCCAGCTCTGCCTCTCCCTGCTCCTGCCTTTCCCTGCAGACCGCTACAGCTCCGAGCAGGAGTTCCTGCAGGACCTGAAGCAGATGTGGTTCGGCCTCTACTCCCGAGGGGACGGAGAGCGCGATTCCAGCGGCTTCGAGCACGTGTTCTCAGGTACGTGTTCTCAGGTACGTGTTCTCAGGTACAGCCCTCCCTGGGTGTTCTCAGGTACAGCGCTCCCGGGTGTTCTCAGGTACAGCACTCCTGGGGTGGTGTTCTCAGGCACAGCCCTGCCCAGGACAGTTCTGAGCTCTGTTCTCAGGCACAGCCCTGCCCAGGACAGTTTTGAGCTCTGTTCTCAGGCACAGCCCTCCCTAGGCTGGTTTTGAGGCACAGATCTCAGTTTTGAGCTCTGCTCTCAGGCACAGCCCTCCCAGGACAGTTCTGAGCTCTCTTCTCAGGTACAGAGCTCAGTTTTGAGCTCTGCTCTCAGGTACTGCCCTCCCTGGGCCAGGGGCTCATCCCAGCATCCCCTCTGTGTTTTAGGGGAGGTGAAAAAGGGAAAAGTGTCTGGATTTCACAACTGGATCCGCTTCTACCTCCTGGAAAAGCAGGGGGTCGTCAACTACTTCAGCCACAACTTCAACGGGCCGGTGAGAGCTCGCGGGGGGCCGGGGCACCCGCGGTGCCCCACGGGGCTGAACCCCCAGATCAGGGGTGCTCCCCCTGCCCCATCCCCGCTGGGGGGTGGGAAGGGCTGGGACGCCAGGGGCGAGAGGGGCTCCCAAGCCACCAGGGAGAGATTTGGGGCTGGGGGCTCTGCCAGGACCCCCCAGCCCGGTCAGGAGCTGCTCTGGAGCCCCCTGGGGGGGCTGGGAGGGTCCCTGGCGGGGCTGGCGGGGATTCCCACCCTGCTGAGCCAGCCCCCCGCCCCGCAGTGGGACACGTACCCCGACGTGCTGGGGCTGCAGTTCAGCTGGGACGGCTTCTACAAGGAGGTGGGCTCGGCCTTCATCGGCTGCAGCCCCGAGTTCGAGTTCGGCCTCTACTCCCTCTGCTTCCTCGCGCGGCCCGGCCGGGCGTGAGTGCTGACCCCGCGTCCCTCTGTCCGTCCCGACTCCTTCTGTCCGTCCTGAGTCCTTCTCTGTCCGTCCTGAGTCCTTCTGTCTGTCCTGAGTCCTTCTGTCCGTCCTGAGTCCTTCTCTGTCCATCCCAGAGTCCCTCTGTCCATCCCGGGTCCTTCTGTCCATTCTGTGTCCTTCTTCCTGCCCCGTGTCCTTCTGTCCATCCCATGTCCTCCTGTCCATCCCGAGTCCTTCTGTCCATCCCAGTGTCCCTCTGTCCATGCCAAGTGCCTCTGTCCATCCTGAGTCCTTCTGTCCACCCCATGTCCTTCTGTCCATCCTGAGTCCTTCTGTCCTCCCCATGTCCTCCCGTCCATCCTGTGTCCCTCTGTCCATCCCAAGTCTGGCCCTGGGGGCCAGCGGGGCCTCCCCGAGCCCCATCAGGGCCGGGGCTGGCCCTGAATTTGGGGAGGGATGGGATGGGATGGGATGGGATGGGATGGG